TTAGTAAATGCTTATATTTTTTGTTTTTGTTGCTTTTTAAAGAGTACCTACTATGTGAAGTCTTTTATAAATATGAAACGTTACGATGGTAACATCATCATATAACCCTATAAGCACCCGTCTGTATGTGAAATGTGTGTGTACGTGCCTGGGTGTGATGTGTGTGTGATGGGTGTGTGGTGATAATCTTAGTGTAGGGGAACGTTTTTTTTTAAATAGGAAAGAAAAAAATTCAGTTTGACTGTTTTTTTTTTGTGAGGGGAAAATCATCGAATGACTTCTCCCGCCCAAGGCCGGGCAGGAGGGAGTGTCAGACTCTTACTGACTAAAAACCCCCCTGTTCCTTCTCCTGCTCTATGCCGAGGTCGCGGTGCCTCATTGCGCTTACCCCGCAACCCCGGCTGAACATCAGCCCTTTAGGGCCCCGTCTGTGGTGGTCTAATGGCTCTTTGAGGCGCGCGCGGAACGCTACGCGCCGTACGCTCGGGCGTGGTTCTGGTCGGGCGGCGAGCTGCCCTTACTCGCCGACCGCAGGCCCGTGCTTACGGTGGCCGGAGATCGTCAGTTTATTTGACTGTACGGTTGGTGCGGTGGGTGGGTGGGTAGCTGGCTGCCGTGCAACGTGTAGCGGGTTCAATTCCCGCACGGAACCACCCTTGTGTGATCCACAAATTGATGTTTCGGGTCTGGGTGTAATGTGTATGTGAAATTGAATGTTTGTAAACGCACCCACGGCACAGGAGTAAATCCTAGTATGGGCCAACGTTTCTATTTAAGAGCAAAAAAAATAAATAAATATTTTTAAGTAATGGCGAAAAATAAGATTCTTCTGAAGAAAACGAAACAAAAAAGCTTTTGTCTCTCAACAAAAGGACATTAATACAAAAAATAGTTTTTATTCTGAAACCGATCTTTAGCTGAATAAACTATTTGTCGAAAACCGAATAGCATTCACGCCGCGCTAAGCTATAGATAAGCTTAGCGAAATCCACTCGTAAACCACATGAGAACTTCCAATCGTATTTCCCACAGAGGTAAACGACCCTAAACCTGCAAACCACAACGATATCAATTGATCTATTCCTTGATATCCTAAAGGACTTCCGTAAAGTCTGATGAATTTTACAAGGAGCACAACTTTGTTCGTGCGTCTTCGGGAGTTTTCGGAACTTTTCGGCTGTCTTCGCTGCACTTCGGCGTTCTATGATATTTGTCGCGTTTGATAACGAAGGCGTGTCATAGCTGACGTCTAGATAAGCCACCCCGTAAACCGGTAATTACCGTCGTTTGCACTTCTCGGGAAATACTCGTTTTGCTTACCTTGTTTATTCAGTTTCAGCGTAATTGTGCTAATTTGCTTCATTAAAATCGTTTAATTTGAACCGTTTTGAGTCATCAAATGGAAAGACATCATTTTATATTTTATCTAAATTTCGTTTTATTTATATGTCGACAAACGATCTGACGGATTTCCTGATGGTAAGCATTCGGCGCCTCCCACCACAGGAGTTTCGAATGCGTTGCCAGCCGTGGCTATGTATTTAAGGATTAGGGGAAGGGATAGGGGAGGGAAAGGATTGAGCGGGGCCTCCGGTAACTTCAGTCATAGCGAAACACAGCGCTGTGGTTGTTTCACGACAGTTTTCTATGAAGCCGTGGTATCACTTCAGTCGAGCCAACCCATTTGTGCCGAAGCTTTGCTAACCCACACTTTTATGTTAAAACGGATTTGATCCAGTCACATTAATACAGATGTACCTAATAAAATCATAGAGGAAAAGAAAAATTATACAAGACACACTTAAAACAATCATAAAATTTAAAAAAACAAACAGGAAATAATCATTCAGACTTTCAAAAAAAACTCAAACATATAATATCGAACATGACTAATAATATTAAACTTATCTATAAATAAGTCTTAGTTATACAATCATTATTTAGATGAGCGTAGCGGTATTTATAAATTTCCTAGCATATAAAAAAGTTGACCACGATGCTACATTACATAACAAGGCAACTTAAAAAAAGATTATAATTTTCAATTTCGATAAAGAAAACAACGAGGATGGTTGAATCCAGAGCGATTATAAGTAATTCCATCGTCTTACTTCGATGGAGATAATAATTCCACGGCCTTTTTAACAGAATTGCTGTTTCCTAGAATTTGTGATAATTTCGTGGAGGAAAAGTTTTACAGTTCGTTGCTCCCGTAACTTTCAGACATGAAGATATTCGAGCGATATCTTTGTGAGATCCTCTTTACTATCTTAAGTTTCATCGTGGAATATAATGTTCATGAAAGTAGCTTTATACATGAATTTGTAGGTCGGTACAATTTCTAAATAGGCTCTTGACCTAGTTTTACGCAAAGTTAGTATAAATACTAAGTTTATGAAGGTCCAACGTCTATTACTCTTTATCGACCCATCTTCAGAAAATAAAGGACAATTTTTTGTAGTACTTACCTAGATACAATATCTTTAAATTTATTAAATGAAGCTAAAACGGGGTCAATAGAATTCGAAGGGTGGATAAATATTTATATGGGAGGGGGAAGGGTGTCTAGACATTAAACATTTTCTTAAATCACATCTTCTTACTTCTCTTCTGTACCGATTCCGCTCTATGAGATCTATTCACCACGTTCAACGGTACACATGATTAAATTAATTTTCTTTCCTTTCACGGGGCCACAGGGTCCCGGACCTTTGGAAGGCGTACGAGGAGCCGAAGCCAACTCGCAGAGGCCCGCTTAATTTATTAATTTGCAAAAATGCATTATCGTGTATTATGACCCTTTATAAAATACAAGTACAAAGGAACTACATGTCATATTTAAGCAATATAATTAAAATACAAGATCGTCAAAGAAGAATAAGAAACAAAAGGAATAGTAACCAAACCATAATACTTAAATACTAAACATATTTTACAATTTGCTAATGTTTGCCTCAGAAACGCGTAAACCACATCCAGCTGTAGGTTTACCACGAAATCTCGCTTTAAATAAATATAAATTATACTATTCAACGTGTTTCCGCAAGTGAAATTAAATTCTGCATACATACGTAATAAAACGGTTTTATGGTTCAGTGAAACATTGCCTAATAAACTCACTCTCCGTTGATCTTGAACGAAAACAACTTTGATCTGAAGGGAATTATAGACTCGCTAAGTCAATAGAGCTTGCACACAAACACCAGATTCAGTAATGCACAAACGTAGGTACAGTTCGCATGTGATCATAATACTAGTGCCAACCAACAATGGCTTTGTTTCAGTACGATTCATTTAAACCATTTATTTAGCTACACATACATAAGTTGAAAACATACGAAAATAAACATTACACAAAAATAAAAATATATAGTGTAGCAAGGGGTCCATCTCAGTATATTATTATGCTGTGCTAATGCACAGCACTGGTTTTCAGATAGACCCGGACTGTTGGGGTAACAAACACATCTGCGGGCACACGAAACAATATTCAGGAACAAATTGCTTTTTTGAGGTTGCAAAATCACCCAATGTCTTCTCTCGCCTTTGTAGAGCACAAGGGAATGTCAGACTCTTACTGACTAAAAGCCATGTTCTTTCTCCAGTTTCAAGCCAAGCGCGCAGTTCATACTTGCGATTTGCATACTTACAATACTGGCTGAACTCGCAATCCGATTTGAGGATTGGTGCCTGATCTAAATCTATACAACTGTACTTATTTGTTCAATTTGTTATTACTAAAGTTGTTTACGTTTATTAGGGATAGTTTTGTGGAAATGTATTAGCCTGTAAGTTTAATTAAGGTTCTTTGTGCTTATGTTCTTTTGTTTTTCTTTGTCTAAATTATTTTACGGTTATTACCCGGATATTGTGTTATAAGTTTACTAATAATATGTAACTGCATTTATCGTATTAGGTGTGCCTGTAATGATGAATGTAATGTTTAAATATAAATAAATATAAATATAAATAAATATAAATATAAATTTCAATTTAGGTTTAATCTCTTGTATATGATAATAATGTCTAAATTAGATCAACGTTCCTTCGAACTAGAAGCTACCTATGACTTCATCGTCGCGTTGACTTTTGATGAAGAACACCACACCAACTGAAAAAGGTTTGCACAATGACTCTCTAATTTGGCGTGCCTTTCCTGATTACTGTGACCACTCAATACAATACAATGAAAAATAAAGTTTTCTTTGTGATATTAAATATGAAACATATCAAAGATACAAATGAAATTCTTAAGGGCATTAGCGAGATCAGTGTCAAATAATGATTACGGTAACTGAGCAAGGGATGCCGAACCGGAGAAAGAACTTAAAAAAACAATGGAAACCGAGTTAGATAGCTGTCCTGTTTCCTATTTAGCGTGTAATTGAATTTGTTGTTGGTGAAAGTAATAATGGAGCCGCATCTGTTGTTTATTTTAGAGCTTCTCTAGTTTATGTTTAAAGTCATCATAGTCATAACTCCCCGCGAGAGTTTAATAGACCGTCAGTTATAAAGTTAAGTGATGCCTCAAGTAATGTATTTACTTATCATGCCCTATATTTAGTTTCACAGTTTACGTTGATAATAACATCATTCATTTTGCTAGGAAACAAATGACTTAGGCTTTAATAATTATTGCGTTGGACTGACCATAAAATATTCTACTTAATTTCTTTTTATCATGATATAATTTTGTTCGTAAATATTTACTCCAGCAAAGACGACAATTAAAATTGACCAAACGTCGTCATACGAATCTCAAAAACACAATTATTTTATATCAACGACAACTGACACAGACCTTCAACGTGTTACTTCAAAACATACACATGTGGAATAATACAATAAAACCGAGGAGATCACAATAAAAATCCCAAATAAGTTATGAAACATATTTTAATATCACAAGACTCGCGACGAAATAGACATAGTTACTCTTGATACAAAACATTTACAAGAAACGAGACACTAACAGACACAACAAAAAATCGCATTCAAATTTACGCAGACTGCAATAATTTTACAAATGTTGAGGCTGGATTCTTGAACAACCTAACATCGTTTAGATTAACAGTAGTACTCAACAATTCTTGGTTGTCAACCGTAGTTGCTGGTTTAAACCTTGTTATTTCATCATTAGGCACATATTTACTTGAAACTATTTTGCTTTCAAACAACCCCCTTGTACCAAGTTCTTTATTTTTTCCAGTTGTCAGAATTTTGTTTGGTGTAACTTCTTCCAATGTTGGTTTATTTAATTTAATAGGCGTTATTAAATGATCCAGTAATGATTGTTTATGTTTGATTCTTAAATCAGGAGTATCTTCAACCGTTTTTTGATTGTCATTGTCATTGTCATTCCTGCTCTTGTTATCATTTATAGAGTTGGCTTTCTGAATGTTCGGGTCCGTATTTTTGCCTCGGTAAGCTTCATTAGAAACTTCAACATTTCTACGCCTGCGGACTGGAAGACCTTTGATTTCATCTTCATATTCTTCTTCGGAAGACTTCTCTATTACTTTTGGCAATTGGTTAAGGTCATGGGCTTGGATTTCGTTTATTTTGCTGAAAATATAAAGTAACATAAATATATATTTTATTCGAATAAGTCAAAATGCCTTAGCGATAGATATAACTTTGTATACAGCTTTGTAGAGCAGTATTTTTGTTCATAAATAAAATTTCATTTTTGAAAAAACGAACCTGATCCGCATTGACCTACGTTATGCGAAAAAAAAAATACTTTCAACGGTTTTTAGTCAATTCTACTTAACTAATTATACATTTTACAAAAAATTACTTTGGCAATACGGAATCCAACATTTTGACATCAGGCATTTCTGCTTCCTTTTCTGTCTGTATACTTGGTGCATTCGTAGAAACCGACGATGTAAAAGCTATCGATCTTGTAACAAAAACAACGGCTCCTTCGCCTTCGGTGTTTTTAATGCTTGAAGGTCTAACCAGTGGATTAGCTACGGTAATTGCTGATGGGTATGTAGGTGACAAAACAAAATAATCCGGGACTTGGGCTTGCTTAAACACGAAAGGATTTTTGGGAACAACCCAGTTGTCAATCGATCCTATACTTTCATCAGGTACGGCCAATCGTGCTGGGTTTATGCTAGAAGGCCACTCGCTACCAGCAGGTCCCATCATACGTCTTAACTGAGCATCACGATTACCAGGTCCCATCATACGTCTTAGCTCAGCATCACGATTACCAGGTTCGTTAGGATTGTTATTCACCGGAAGATATGGTAGAAAAGCCTCGACAGATCCGTACGTAGCCTGTAAATAATTGCATAGATTTATTTGATTCAAGTTTCTATATATTAGTTACTACCTCATCGTTTTAATATACAAGTATAATAATATGACAGAAGGAAATAATCTTAGATCGCAAGCCTAGATTAAAAGTAAGTACAATGTTTTTAGATTTTCTGATACTTCTTTAAGTATAATCTTACCTAGTGTTCAGAAGATTAAAGCCCCATTATTGCTTGTTGCATACAATTAATAAAAAAAACTTGGATGGTCTAAACAATAGCTATGGCATAATGCAAACGAGACTTAAAATTTGATACAAATATTGTTCCTGTTTTTTAAGATCGTGTAAATCCGCTTCAAAGCAAATTACAGTTTTTCAAAAATGAAAAGTTTATATTTTATTCTTACCAACGGCGTGAGTGTGGTCCCACCGCTAGCCATACGTCTCCTAGAGTCAATGAGAGTCTGTACCGCTTTCAAGTGATCTAGGGAACCTTGCGGATATTTATTGCCGATCTGAAAATACATTTGAAAATAAGTAGCTCGAACATGTTCGACAAACTGACTAAAACTATCATTTGGTATTTCTGCGATTTTTGCCCACCCACATGGATGGAATGTTTTGTCTCCAATTTTACCATCAGAACCGCTAAGTAGTGGAAAGCTTGCAAGAGTCTTTGTTCCCTGAAGGTTATTAAACCTGATGTGTCTTCAAGGTCCAAGTAAATAGGTTGCTTATGCGTTGGCGTGCTCCATCGTAGTGTGCATCATCGCTTACCAACACGCCAGATAGAGGTCAAACATTACAAATAAAAAAAAACTGATTACTTCGGCCATCTCGAAATCCTCGGTGACAAGCGGCTTTGGGGTGTCCAGATGGACTGGTTTAGCTGTAAGCTTCATCAATGACCCTTCGTATTTATTCTGATCATCCGCTTCAAATACAGAGTCATCCAGCCTCCGACCAGACCTTATTGAAGTAGTTTCGTCTGCTGAAGCTCCGGTCCTTACTATAACAGAATTCAAAAAGTTTTCATTATTAATAGAGCATAACTACGAGTATTTAAAATTCAAGGCAAAAATATAAAATATATTTGGAATACTTATTAATTGAATCTACAAGTATCAAATGCAATGATGCATTATTAGACAAGAATTTGCCTTCAGATGGCACCCGCTTCTTATGCACAAGAGTGTAGGTTCGTAACCTGGCAATTACCAATGTGACGTTTTCTTAGCCATATGTTTTTTCATGCTGTATTTATACACCTTTGACATACGGCGAAGGAAAACATAGTGAGGAAATGTGGACTTGTAATTTCTAATTGGAAGTTTGACATCATCAACCAAGCGCAAGCAAGCGTTGTGGTTAATGCTCAAACCTTCTCCAAGTTTGTGGCTCTTAAAGGCTGATGATGTGTGTGTGATGTGGCTTTATGTCGGTTCTGAATAAGTTTTAATCAGTTATAAATCATATAATAATAGTGAAAAACCTACGATTGTCATCTGACAAATGTCCGGTGCGTGGTTGATGGCCACTCCGTCTCCATTGCATATCGTCTCCGACCTCGTCATCAAAGATACCCCTCTTCAAGTAGATGGAAACGTTCGTCTCTGAAATAAAAAGCGTTCATTTATAAATTCTAATATTCTGAAACAAAAATGTTGCGACCCCGTTTTATTGTTTAAAAGATTTATAATAATAAATAGTAATTCTGATGTATGTTGATGTTGTGTCTACGGTTAAGTAGGTACTTTTAAAATATTGGCTTTCGCTTTGCGAAAATATTGATCAACAGTCAATGATGTTTTGATTTTAACCAGAATTGTCTGGTTATGACTGTTGAACCTTTTCGACCAGAAAGAGAAAATACATAAAAAGAAACTGGCTGTTAGGAAAAAGTTAGGAATCCGTAAAAGGAAAACGAAACTTAAAAGACGTGACGAAAGACAAAAAAGGCTAAGCAGGCGTGATGGGCATAATGAATGGAGATGAAGCTATAGAGGTATAACTATAATCAAGGAAGAAAGACAAATGAAAGAAGAAAGAGATTTAAAAGTACCTTTTAATTCAATGTACTCAGCCAGAGAGTAGTTGTATCCCAGAGCGATCCCTGACATCGATGATGTTACCATCACACAGCCCACTGCCGAACTGATGCAGCAGGACATCAGGAACACCCACAATCTAAATAAAATATGGATATCTGTATTTACAAAACAGTAAAAATTACAAAAGCATTATATACAATTGCATTTCCCAGTAAGCAGCTTGATTGATAATTCTTGGGCAATATTTATCAGACACTATTATGTATGTTGTAACAGCTACTGTTATTGGTTTTGGTGTTGACCGCGAATAAAAGCAGCCTATGTGTTTCAGGGTATCACGTATTTAACGTGCTAAATTTCAACCAAATCGGTCCAGACCATGCTTCGGCACGAATGGGTCAGCTCGACCGGAGTGATACCACGGCCTCACAGAACACCGGCGTGAAATAACCACAGCGTTGTGTTTCGCCGTGTGAGTAAGGTTACCGGAGGCCCAATCCTTCCTCTCCCACAATCCCTCCTAAATCCCTAAATCTCCAAATCTCTAATCCCTAAAAGGTCGGCAACGCACTCGTAACTCCTTCGTTGCGAGTGTCCATGGGCGGCGCTGATTGCTTACCATCAGGTAATCCGTCTGCTCGTTTGCCAACCTATTAAATAAAAAAAAATAAGACGTTTTGGGTGCAAGAATAACAAATATACACCCATACATTCTCACAAACATTCACATTTAATTTTGTAATATTATACATAGGCATGTGTATATCCATAGTTTTTTAGTTAAAATTACTCTGAGGAAATCTCGTGTACAGTTTGGGACAATTCGTCGATGACGGTTTGTTAAATTGACATTTTGTTATAATCAGAAGCACGCAATTGAAGAAAGTTACTAAAATACCGATCTTATACAGATTATCATAATTCTTCATTTTCAAAATAATCCCAACTACTGGACTGGATTTTGTTTAATTTAAATCTAGATCAAGTATTTTTAGTTTTTTAGTTAACTCAAAATCTAAATATTCACTTCATAAATAAACCACCTAATACTGCATCTAGCTACAAACGCAACCTTGATTGAAATAAACTGTTGAAATACTGTAACATTATTTTAAGTTATTTTTCCTATACGGAAGAGATTTCCTTAATAATTTTACTCTTAAACAAGATAAAGTTTGTAGTTTATTGACAGGATAGTTACCTCTGGATGAGATCTACCATCCAACCGCAGCAGGTGAAGATGCAACACATTTTGATCGTTTATTTTAGATCCCATTTAGACGTACACAAAAACCTGAAAAATGTTATATATTAGTTTTAAAACTAGATAGCTTTATTTATGAATTGGATGTTCAGATATTAGACGTCAGATGCTTAATTCAAGGTCGGCACGGCATCTGGGTAACTCGATGATTGGCGAGGTGTTATTGTTTCGTATATTTTTCTTTTAAGGGGATGCAGGGATTCTTCAGATGCAAGAAAGACTATCAGCCTCTTCTCAGAAAAACCGACCCATTCATTCTTCTGATTCGAGGCGGAGCAGGAAAAGAATGAACTGCCGGAAAATTCATAATTGCACTTGCACCGAAGACCATGGCTGGACACAAGCCATAATTGACTCCAACCTTACGGTTGGAGTCAATTATGCCATCAGACTCTTACGAGTCTGATGGCTCTTAGGGTGCCTTTTACACTTGGATCTGGCTTTGGTCGGGAGGCGAGCTACCCTTGCCAGCCGTCCGCAGACCCGACGCCGACAGTGCCTTGAAAACCTTCGGAGTTTTTGAATGAACCGCTCTTTTCTATACAATTTTCGAGTACGTAAATTAAAACTTTTGGCTTCTGATTTGAAGTCATAATCATTAGGCAAGTTTGAGAATTATTAAAACTATATTGTCATGTGTGTTCTTACTTTTTTGTGTATAAATAGAGGTTAGAAGGCGCATTTAATATATTATAATGAAAGTAAAGTAAATAACAGTACTTCCAAAGGGCAATGTTATGAAGAGATTTCGAGTCTCCATAGCGCCTAAGGTTTATTTTATCAAAGGAAATTTTAAAGTACTTGAACACATGCAATATGACTCAGTTTTACCATCAAAGAAAATGCCTAAATAACTACACTAAATGACTTGGAAATGCTATATATCAAAGAGACTTTGAGCACTTACTTTAGATATTGAAAAAAAAGGGCCCAAATAATTAAAACCCATTGAAAATAAAAGCCCGTAAACCAACGTCGGAAGCAAACCAGACAGATACCTTTACAATTTCATAATAACTAAGGATCCAAAGAATGTAACCCAATTATTTGGTATTTTTATAAAAAACTTACAATTTAGAGTAAATTTTATTGAGAAGGTCCCTTTATGTTACGTTGGCCCCTCCCTCATGCTTAAAATTTGTTTCTCCCGTCCATATTTCTGAATTTCTTGCACAGCTGAATTTATATTTGTTCAATTTGCCGTAACAATTAATGACAGTTCCATATTAACGCCAAACGTCCGAAGTTCGTCTCAAAAGAGTTCAAGGCTGAAAGAATAAGATAAGAATATTAAAAAAGTTTCTAATGGTGTTATCTATGGTTTTCACAGCGTTGTTGTTTTCTGGGTAAATGAAGACTTGTGATATTTGAATTGATATTTAAAAAAAATGTCTCGACGAAAAACAGTTTAGGACGTTACCTATATGATAATAAACTAGCATAAAATAACAATGTGCAGGAATTAAACTCTTACAAAAGAAGATGAGAAGTATATTTTAAGAGATATATGTACAGATTACGTACCTATTTCTTCCTTAATACAATTGAAGTAATTTATTATTCTCATAAATTTTGATAGGACTCAGCGCGAACTTTGACTAGTACCTAGACTCCGGGGTTGCAGATATAAACTCACTGTGTACCGCCCCAGCCAAGACCAAAAGAAGGAGGGTGGTTTTAGTCAGAAAGAGCCTGAAATTTCCTCTCGCCTCACTCAGGGCGGGAGAATTGATTTGATGATTTTCTCCCTAAAAAGGTGTTGCAGATTGCATTTCTCTAAGGCATTAAAATTGTTTTTACTTGAGGTGACTGTTATTTTAATTAACAGATCAACAGTAAAAATACACAATAAAAGTAAAAAAATATATTTTTCAATTACATAGATAAGCTTATCCATATTTTCATACATAGTTACTGTAAAAAAAGAAAGGCCTCTCCAGTGACTCTCAGATAGGTTAGTTGAAGCTTGCATTAACGGCTTGTCGCGATCTTTACCTAGTTGCATTTCACCATGATTTACTTAAAAAGAAACAAATTTTAGAAGTATTCTGAATGTAGTTACTCAGCAAATATGTATATAATAATTTGCAATATTCGAATTACATAGTTCATAGGAACGTGCACAGAAACATTATAGTAAGAAAATAAAGTAAACATACAAAAATCGTTTGTTGAATACGAAATTGTGTAGAATTCGAATCGGTTAGCTTCGAATAATCTTTTTGGTATTTATTGTCGAAGAGATTTATTTTAGTTTTGTATTCTAACAATGTCGACGTCAATTCATGAATATTTTCATGTTGTTAGGTTACGAAAATAAACTTATTGACATAATCGATTTATTTATGTGATAGTGTTTGAAATAAGTAATCATGCCACATATAATCGCGTGGCCAACAATGGCTGAAAGCTTAGTTAGAATTTGTGTCCATATTACTATATTGTCAACATGGTTATTGCACTGTCTCCAAAAAGTTTGGATAGCAAAAATACTGCGATGCGTTAGATAAAAATAATACCCGATACTTATGATGCATTAATTAAGTGCTGACGGCCCGGTACGTGCTTCGCTATGTAATAAATGAAAAACTGCTCGACCAATTTAGTGCAAATTTCATAAATCCATTTACTAAATAGTTCGAATAAAGCCTAAGCATTTGGTCTGGATAGATAAGGCCATTCTTATACTAATATTACAAAGACGGAAAAATTTTAAGTTTGTAAGTTTTTATGTAGGGCGTAATGTTTGGAACCACTGGTCGGATTGCCAAAATTATTACACTTATTGATAGCTACAATGTTCCCGAGTGGTATAGGCTATAAAATATCACGCTACAATCAAATGGAGCCGAGCAGGGAGTGAAACCGCGCGGGAGAAGCTAGTGAGTTAGAAAATTACAACGACAAGTGGCATTTATTTTTATACTAGCTCTTACCCGCGGCTTCGCACCCGTCATTTGACTACCTACCTCTCTCTGCTTACCCTACTCTACCTACCCTATTTTACCTACCCTACTTTACCTACCCTACTCTAACTATCTTACTATACATACCGTACTCTACCTACCGTACTCTGCCTAACCTACTCTACCTACCCTACTCTACCTACCCTACTCTACCTGCCCTACTCTACCTACCCTACTCTACCTACCCTACTCTACCTACCCTACTCTACCTACCCTACTCTACCTACCCTACTCTACCTACTCTATCCTATGTCCTTCTCCCAGTTCTTAGCTACCTCCCTGCCAATTTTCAGCTAAATCGGTTCAGCCGTTCTCGAGTTGTAAGTGGAGTAACTAACGCGACTTTCTTTATATGGGTCGTTCTTCTTTTTTATCGACAATCTGACCGGTAAATTTTTATATTTGATAAAAAAATAAATTTGTGATTTATTTAGTGGAATTTAATTTAAATTATTGCCTCATTATTGTAGATTACAAAAACATATAATGCAGCGAAGTATTACATGTAATTTTCGTTTCATTTCAAATTTCGTAGGAATGGCATGAAAAAAATAACACCTCAGTCACAAAAGTATTTATTTTTTTTACGTCTCATTTTAAATCAGAACGTCAGTTTCTTATTAATTTCTTATCAAGAATATAAACATTTACTATCATCTAGCTCCATAGGACGGATTTTTTTAAATAATCATTTTTTTAAATTATCCAATACCACTCCGTCACATTTTTGCTTCATAAGAGATAAAACTTTTTAATATTATGAAAGTCGCCCAATAAAGTCGCTTAAAAATCTAGTGAACACCTTTATTGTTTACCATATAATACTAGAAAACGTTACTTTTGTAAATACTAACAATAAAGTGTTTCATAACTTACTTTGAACTAAAATTTTAAGGGGGACAAAATTGTGACAGAGTGGTTAACGAAGTGACGGAGTGGTAAACAATGTTTACGTCCGCCGAACAAAACTAACCTTAGTACAATTTTTAATTATAGAAAACAATAACAAACATAGTTTATACTTAAAATGTTACTACAAGTCTTGATGATTGGTGTTCATTCTTTGGTAGATATTAATTTAGTCTTACAATATCTTGTCACTAACTCTACTTTTCAAAAACTTCTATTGGTTGATCGTATTCGTAAAACACGCGTTTTCCTCTTTTAATTATCTTAGGAGGTGGAATAATTTGTAACAAATTTTCATACATCACATCTGACACATCAGTCTCTACCAATTTAAACAATTTTCCAGTATCATCAACAGATTTATAAAACATCACTCGAACATCTCCATCTTCATCCACTCCACTTTTTGCTACTCCTAAGTAAGTGTACTCAATTTTTCTTTCACTTAGTACTTTGACTAAAAGATGTGTTCCATTTTTTATTAATGATGGATGGATCTTATCCCCTAATAGATCGAGTGATGTACCTGGTTTTGTATCTACAGATGTTCTCAAATTAAGAAGAGGCTGGTCATCTTCGTCTTCTGAAGTAGAGGTATACACAGTCTTATAAAATCCCTCAGTAGAACCAATTACATTAGTTATATCAGTCAGTGGTTCTTCTCTATCCGAGGTTGAAATGTCAACTTCTGCCTCACGTTTCGGCAATGGGCAGTAAGTCTTTAAATTGTAACAATCACAAAATTTTCCGCAAAAACAACTTAACATTCGGTAGCTCAACATTCCAGGCTGCTGAGCAAGCAATTGATGGACTTGCATAGTTCCTTTTAATGGAGGAATTCCTTGTGGGATTGTCACCAAAATCTGTGCGATATCATCTTTACCGACAAAAAAGACCTTTATCTTACTGCGATTGTTGACTGCATCGAAGAATTGTGATGCGTCAACAATATCGTGTCCGCTGGCGACAAAATGATCAGCTAAACGTTTAATACACCCCCCTATGCCGTCAGCCGCACCCTTGCCGTGGCCAGATTCAAAAAAATTCCATGTCAAGTCATCAAATCCGTATTCTTCAAAAAATCTCGTGGCAATGAGATAAAAATTTATTTTTTGTTTATATTGCGTCGCTGGCCCGTCTGAAAAAATGTGGATCGTCTTAATATGAGACAGTTCCTTTTGAACGTAATCGAGAATTGGATGGAGGTGAGCCCATATAGCGGCAGGGCCATGTTGAAGATCAGAAGACACAGTACAAAAGGAAGTTATATTTTTATCCTTATTAAAAGTCAAGTGATATAATACTGCTGTATGCAAAGTTACTTGGTTTCGAGATCCTCCAAAATGCACTGACTGGATTTCTTCATGGTACTTACAGGCATAGTTTTCGCTAAAATCAATATGTAAAGCAATTTCGGTTTCTGTCAATCCATCAATACATTGTCGGTATGATTTATATTGATTTTTAATATTAAATATGTGGGATTTAAAATCTTTTAACTCATCTTCAAATTTTTTAATCAAATCTTCAACAGTGATCTTTTGTATTTGTTTTATGTTCTTGCTGATTTTAACTTTTCTTCCATTTTTCTCGACAATATCTGTGATTCTGACCCATTGTGGTAATTCCAAAACTGTTTCTTTTGCGATCGTCGTTGTATCATAATTGAGCTTTTTTGCTTTACAATTTTCGCATTTCCCTTTCATACATGGTAATGAATTTATATCGCAAACAGTTTTTAAGATTATCTGGTTAATGTCATTTGTCTTGATAACTTTATATTTATGCAAAATAACTCTCATGAATGCAATGTTTGCGTGTACCTTGCACATACAGGTTTCTCGGCTGTCAACTGAAGGTGGTACGACATAAAACGGCTTAAATTTTGCAAAATAACTGTAGTGACATTTAACGTTGGGGTCCTCTTTTAGAAATGACTTATAGAGATTTTTCTTAGTATCCAACAAAATTCTTTTCTGCATCTTCCTTTTTTGATAAGTGACTGTCTCTTTTTTTCCAGCAGTGGCCCGTGACACATCATCCCTGAGATAAAAATCATGAATTTTTTGTTTTAATGTAGTATTTTTTGGCAAGATGGAATTATACTTTGTCACTCTCCTGATTCCAATGGTTTCCATTGCCAGTTGAAGTTTTTGTCCGGAACGTAGAATTGCTGGGTCTTCAAGTATACTTTTAAAATAGCGTTTTGTTTTGTGGTCTTTTGTGTTCTTGTAATGTTTCTTAATGGTATTTGATAAAATAGTATATTTTCTGTATTCTTCTTTGCCATGTTCATTTTCTTTTTCACTATGAGTTGTTGTTGTAAGCACTTTATTTCGTTTCTTTTTCAGTCGCTGAAGTCTTTTCTTGTATTTCTGTACTTTTCTTAGTAATTCTTGTGTTTGGTTTTGAAGTTGAATATTTTGTCTATAAAGGCGTGATCTATCTCGCCGCACTTGTTTTCTTCCCCTGCTACTGGCAACAGACGAGGTTGGGGTCAGTGAAAGAGATCTGGGACTTAATGGAAGTAGTCTGGGACTTGAAGGAGGCGGTGTAGAAGCCGGAGTGTTCATCAAAACGTTCTGCAAAGTTTTCTGTCTTTCTCTTCTCTTTTTATTTCTAATCTGCCATTGTCTTTTTATTTTTTTATGTTCTTTTGGTGTCATATCCTTAACTAACTTTTTGCGAGCATGATATCTTTCTAAATCTTTACGTTTTACTTCTGCAACAAGTTCAGGGTTAAGCTTTCTTTTTTCACGACACCGTCGCTGTCTTTCAGCCGCAGATAATGCCATTTTTTCATTTACTTGATGGTAATACCTTAAATTAACAAAATAGTTCACGATAGTATAACCAACATAAAAAAACAAGCGATCATCTATTATGTATATTAACTAAGGTTCTAAGTTCCATACAAAAATGACCACTCTGTCACGAGTCATACCACTCCGTCACACATTTTCGTGACAGAGGTGCTACGTGACAGAGGTGTAAAATAGTAGTGTTCGAGATATTCAGCATTTTCCTAATTATAATTTACGCAAAAAACTGGGTATATATGAAATATTTATCATTAATTAATCAGTTAATATTAAAACCCCGAAATTAGAATAACATTTGAAAGTCGTAACTTACGTGACAGAGCGGTCGCTGAATAAACACACGCACCTCCTGTTACTGTTTGCGGGCGACTGACTGGTATTGCCGGGGCGTGGGAACGTATAGCGCGAGTGCGGGGTGGAGGGGGACTATTCTCGAACATAGTGACCAAGGTCAAAGTTACTAACGCACACTATTTTGTACCATAAAATGAGTGACAGAAGGTAGCAACTAAAATCATATACATCGGGAGACAGCCAATAAAATATATTTTTATTTAATAATATAAACATTAAAAATTATTTCTTCTTATTAATGTAATAAAAAAGGTTAAGTAGTTCAGTAAATGTTCTTGGATAGAAACTTTTAAATGTGTTTTTTTTTTTACGAGAGCACTTTGTTTACATTACTAGTCATAGAGGGACACACTTTATTAGTATGTATAACACCTCCGTCACGCTTTTTGTATACTATGTCACACTGATTTTGTAAAAAATAATTATGAATAAAATCTAGTTTTGAGGATATTAAAATTATTGCAGTGTCAAGTGTATTTTTTTATAAAAAAATTAAGTAATTTAGTATTTATGAGCAAAATATTATTTTTTTTGCGGAGAAGACAAGTCATTGTCGATAAAAAAGAAGAACGACCCATATACCAAAGGCGGCCAAACCAAAGAGAGATTTGATAAGAATTCATAATTTAAAATACAAGTAAAGAAAATAACTTACAAAATAACGTAAAATATTCAGAGCACTTCATCGTTTTAGTCAAAAACGTGCCCCTACACCGTAACGAGCAGTAATACTGACATTCCATACTCAATTAGGGGTTCACTTAGCCGTGTACTTGTACGCCTGGGTTCTTCAAACGTCATCGCGCCGGAATTATGGGTCCCTGTGGGCGGGGCTAAGGCAAGCTTAGAATGCCTGGGGATATTAATCCAACCATCTCACACAAAGGGTTAGCATATGAAATAATAAAATATTTTGTTAGAACTGTTATATATTCGGTTTGTGTGATTTTTATGTGTGCGTTTAGGTCTTTTTGTGTGTTCATTCGTTTGATTGAGTTATTTAATAATATAAGCCTTAATACTTTTATTCGACACTTATTATCACTTACTTTAAGTTGTATTAAATTGCAATATAGGACCACAACTGGATTCTTAAAGTTGTATAAGCTTAAAAACCATTTTATTATTTGCATGTACTGCAATTTTAATGTCAATTTCAAAATCTCATATCTAATTCGAATATTGAGTTAGTAAGCAAATGATAATTGATTAAAAATGATCAAAGAAGAACCAGAAAAAAAAACGATTTTGTTTTATTTCTTTGATTGTTAAGGCGCAAAACTGTTTATACTTTCTTTACACAAGCCTTTTTCGCTGCTAATTTCCCACTTAACCCTAAGTTTGACTGGGAAAAAGATAAATGACATTAGCTTGTACTTTTGCTGACCGCGCATGCATTAAAGAATGATTAAAAAATAAAATAAAAATGTAATCATAATACGCAAAAATTACCCATTACTTGAGCTTGCGAAGCCCTTCAATGGCTGCTGTAACTTCCTGAACACACAATAAGCCTCGGCACTCCACTGGAGGAAGCTGTTTCTTCCATTAACCATCACTTGTTGCTACGCCCGGAAACCCCGCCAGAGGGCGCACCGAACCGACGGAAACTACCCACGCCATATCCGGAGCGACTCCATTCGTTCGTGTCTAAGATTAATAAATAAATAATGTTTAGGTTACTGTTTCTAAAATGTAATTTGGAATTTCATAAAATAATGATGATTTCAACAGCTCAGCATTATTGAACATATTATTTGACTACTTATTTCAGCGTGGCTTCACCCACTGTTCAAATCACGTTCAAATCCTATTAGTCGTAGCATGAAGTTTTCCTATACTTTTTCAATTAGAACCAGTAGAACCTACTTCTAGAACAAGGCGCGTTCAAACAAATTTATGTGGGAGAGGCATTCTTTTGCGCAAATCCTGATGGAGCGGAACGGACCACGGCCACACAGGCCGTTTCAACCGTCGTTGTGAAAAAAATTGTGAAAAATGTGAATCACAATCACAAAGAAGCAAACAAACAAACTCTTCTACAATAATATTAAGAGTATAGATATGTATATAATATAACCTTTTTATAGTTTATATAAATCTGAAGAATTGAATGTCGAGCTCAGTGGCTTGCAATTGGTGAGGCCAATGTCCAGTAGTGGACGACATCAGGCCGATGATGATGATAAATCTAAAGACGAAGGAATCGGTGTACCTACTCGTACGCTTTTTATTTAAAAGTGAGATGGAAGTGGGGTAGTGAACAACACTACTGTGAAATTAACACCAAAGTAATCAATTGAACTTTTCTCAAAAGAATACTGAGGCAATTAATAAAAAAAAAGGTAATATTTTTTTACGTATTTCACAAATAAGGACGGTATGCTTCATCGTTTTAAATAACTATATATTTTTTAACCTGCCACACATTAGAATGTAATAATGAATGTAAAGTATGTAATTTTGGATACGAATTACTTTAAATGTATATATACATAAAAATCTAATGCGGTAAATGCACTTATTTTTATTATTATAAGAACAAATAATAACGGGTTCTTGTTTTTCTAGTATTTTTCCAATGTTGAATGACGTTGCCTGACGTCCAATTTGAGGTAACAAGGTGGATCGAACGCGCGGTTGTTAAAACTACGAAACATATACTCTATGTAGCCGGACGTACATAACTGTATATGGTAGTGCATGGATCAATTGATTGCAACTACTTTTGTAAAAAAGAAACTCGAAAAATACCTTTATTTGCGTTTTTGTTACATAATAATCATCAAGGATAGTCAGGTTTTTAACAAATTCTCGTAATTCAGTTACGTGTGAATTATATATTGCTTCCTATGTAGGTATCTAGCTAATATCAATAACTTCAAACAGCATCCATCCATCAATCTGGGACTCAATAGCCTGATGTTGAAATAAGAGCTCTATGATCTGACGGCTGAACTACATATTAACTCAGCCTGCTTCGTACTGTTGTCCATCCAGATAACAACGAAATGGTTTCTATTTCCCAATTTTCCCATTGGTGATACAGAATACAACAAAAAAAGAATGGGCAAAATTAGACCAGTCGTTGCTGAGTTACGCTTACCAACACAAATATATAGCTATTTTATAGGTCGTTTTTTTTAAATAGCCCTACCCTGACATGAGCTACTCCGAGGTGTTGAATTACTCAGTGTGATTAAATTTTCCATAATTTACGATACACCCAATAAATTATGTTGATATTCAGTTTTGTTCACAGCCTGCAACAGCGTCGTCAGTACTACTGGTGCACTTGGGCGCAGTGGGAGCATTGGCGAGCGGCGCAGCCTTGTGTGGGGGCGGGGGTGCGTGCGTCTGCAGCGCCCTGCTGCATGCCCTGCATCCGCTGCAGCTGTGGACCGTGTGCGGCCTACATGCTGACCGAGCTGCTGCCATTGCTGCACCGCTGCATTATGCAGCTATAGTTTCCGCCAAGAAGGTAAAAATAAATCTGCATCGCAAGTGGCTGTCAATCTCTACAATATACAATACATCAATGTTTTTGTTTATAGGTACTGATTTGCGTGGCGAGTGGTTGGGTGGCAACGGCAGCTTTACTAGCTCCGCTAGCAGCAGCGCAGCCTCCCTTGGCGTACAGCGCTGGGCTCGGCAACTGCGCACCAGACTGTGGAGCTGGACCAGCTGCACTTGGTTTCTGCATCGTGTACGCATCGCTGACATTGATCTTGCCTGCCGCACTCGTCCTCCTCTGCAGCCTAAAGATCCTCCGCATTGCACGCTACCATCGACACAGGATTGCAGCGGCTATATACGAAGTGACCCTATCAGCTCAAGTGACAGTGACACACCAAAGAAATCCGTTCTCCCCTCCACCGCCGCCACGCAGGAGGGCCCTGTCAGCCGTACTTCAGCCTCTAGGCTCACTTGCTATATTGTACTTTCCTTATTACTGCGTGTTGATATGGCCAGCAGTGGCGGTACCCCCACAGCCTCTAGCTGCTCTATCTGCAGCTCTATTAGCAGCTGCACCACCAGTAAATGGTATTTTGTATGGTATAAGGAGCCGAGCTCTGCGTGACTCCCTTCGTAACTATAGGAGGAAACGAATGACAAAAAGCGAAGTGACACAAGAGATACAAGCGAGGACTCCCAGTGCATGTGGGTCTAGACGACCATCGTTATCTGCTGGTTCAGGCTGTATACGGCCACCAACTACTAGAAGATTATCGGACGCAGCCGCGATGGGTTCGCGGGGTTCAGAACGGCCAGCACAACGTGCAGCATCTTGCAACATGCTGCAAGACTCCCAGGAAGAAGAAGTGGTTCCACGACCTCGGACGTCAGCTATCCCTATAATCAGGGCTCCACCCCACGTGGTCCTTGGCCGCGCGCTAGGACTTGAGGAGATAGGTGGTGGTACGCGCGATCGGCGACGACGTCAATCGCCACGTATCACGGTGACGCGTGCCATGTCAGATGAGAGTGAGTCGCCGACACGTCGGCCTCTCTGTCGGCAGCAGTCACGATCGAGCGGGGCTCTGCTAGGCGGCGTGCCGTATTCGCCTGCCATTTCGGAGCACGTGCACCTGGACAGCCACGCCGATGAGCAGCTGCTG